TTCATGAAATTATGAAAGAAAACTTTCCAGATATGCCAGGAGATCCTGAAATCCAGATAGCAGACCACTTCAGAACCCCAGGAAGACTCAACCCGAATAAGACATTCCCCAGACACATTATAATTAACTTCCCTAAAGTTAATATGAAAGAGAAAATCCTAAAAACAGCTAGATGTAAGAAAACCATAACCTACAAGGGGAAGAATATTAGAATGACTGCAGATCTCCCTGCCGAAATCTTTCAGGCTAGAAGAGGGTGGTCATCGACTTTAAATCTCCTAAAACAAAATAACTTTCAACCCAGGATCCTGTATCCAGCTAAACTGAGTTTCATTTATGATGGAGAAATTAAATACTTTAATGACATTCACATGTTGAAGAAATTTGCCATAACTAAACCAGTTCTTCAGGATATTCTCAGACCTATCCTCCACAATGACCAGTATAATCCTCCACCACAAAAGTAAACTCACTCAGAAAATTTTTGATCAAATTCCAACTCCCACAGTGGCAAAAGGATTAAAAATGTCCACTAGACCTTCGAACAACTCATTACCCAAAATTTTCCCAGGCTTATCAATAATTTCAATCAATATAAATGGCTTACACTGTCCTCTAACGAGGCACAGATTGGCTAAATGAATACAGAAACTCAGACCAGACATCTGCTGTATACAAGAATCTCATCTTACCTTAAAAGATAAATATAGACTCAGGGTGAAGGGATGGTCATCTATATTCCAGGCAAATGGAAAGCAGAAAAAAGCAGGCACTGCAATTTTATTCACAGATACATTAGGTTTTAAACCAACAAAGAAAGCAAAGACAAGGATGGCCACTTTATATCCGTTAAGGGTAATACTCAATATGATGAGATCTCAATTATCAATATTTATGTACCCAACCAGAATGCACCAGATCTCTTTAACAGGCATGAGCAACTTGATCTCTCCCAGCTCCATCATAGTTAGAGATTTTAACACTCCTTTAGCAGTGTTGGATAGATCCTCCAATAAGAAGCTTAGCAAAGAAATTTTAGATTTAAATTTAACTA